CCATGATCAACGTACCAGAAAGGTTTTTTTTGGGTTTGAAGTATTCAGGATTATGCGGGCGCAACAGTTATGTTGATTCGCTATGTTGAAGTCCCAAAATCGGCTTTCAGGTACGGTTCTGGATCGTCAAGACGCAGCAGTCAGGTCGATACATGGTGTTGAAATCCCGACAACCATGTTTTGGCACGCTTCAGGATCTTCAAACTGTTGTCTTCAAGCGAGGCAGTTCCCTCAATGGAAATGAACCGCTGTATGGGGCCTATGAAGAGGGAGCGTGGAGGGAGGTTTAATTCCAACATCGTTGATGACTCTTGGGCTTCCACTGGTCCTCCTCCTCCTCCTCCTCCTCCTCCTCCTCCTCCTCCTCCTCCCTCGGCCGTCTCAAGCAAGTGCGTCGTCGCGGAGGCCCAGGCCTGGCCGCCCTGGGGTACATGGGCGGCTCCGACCCTCGACTCTTATTCCGACGCGTGCGCTCCCCGTCCTCCTCCTCGTAACCTCCCGTCGCAGCCTTGAAGTCGCTGGGAGGCGGCGCGCTGCACCGCCCATGAGCTACGAGAAGTTTATCTTGCGGCCGTCCCGCCCAGCTTGAGGGGTCGAGAAGCAGGGCGGGCTCGGGACTCCTTGTCTGCGCCGTGCTCCTCCCTTGTCCTCCTCCTCCTTCCTCCCGGATTTGCTTCTGGTTCCGTGCCCACAGATGCGGACTTCGCCTTGCCCCGAGCAGGGCAGGTCCAGGCATTTCCCCCCCCTTCCGATCACCAGCAGACGTTGTGCCCGGCCCCGAGCCGAGTGGCCGGGCCGGGCCGCGGGTTTCCTCCTCCTCCTCCTCCTCCCCCTCCTCATCGAGGCGGCAGCCGTGGGCTGGGCGATTGCCCAGCCCAGTCCCCCTCCAGCAAGACTTCGCGAGCGCGCGGGGCGGTTTTGGTGCCCTCACCGGGGTGCAGCGGCCGGCGCTTTCGCCCTTCGAGTTCCGTGCCTTCCCTCGAGCTGCGGCGAGTGTTGCGCCTGCTTTCGGTCCAGGGAGCAGCGGCACATCTCAGTGTCTGGTGGCCTTCGGCTCGTCTTGCCACAGAGGCGGGACCGTGGGCAGGATGCCTCTCGGATGCCTCTTGGGACCCCTCGGGTGCCCCTTCTTGGAGGGCTGGAGCCCCCCTGTGGACAGGGGCACCCATGATGCTGCTGCTGATGATGATGCTGATGATGCCTCTGATGATGATGCTGATGCTGATGATGCTGATGATGATGCTGCCGATGCTGATGATGATGCTGCCGATCATAATTACCTATACGACCACCCTTCGGGTGATAAGGAGGTTGGGGGAGGGGGGAACCAACGTCTCACTCGATCGGTCTCACTATCGATCTCAGTATCGATCTCACTATCGGTCTCGCTCGATCGATCTCACTCGATCGATCTCACAATCGATCTCACTCGATCTATCTCATCCGATCGATCTCACACTTGATCTCACAATCGATCTCACAATCGATCACACAATCGATCTCACATCCGGTCTCAATATCGATCTAACTATCGATATCACAATCGCTCTCACAATCAACGTCAGCATCATCATCATCATCATCATCATCATCAACATCTTCAACATCAACATCATCACCAACATCGTCATCATTATGAGGGCACCGTCATCATCATCATCATCATCATCATCATCATCATCATCATCATCATCATAAACATCATCATCAACGTCAGCATCATCATCGGGACAACATCATCATCACCATCATCACCTCATCATCATCAACATCATCATCATCATCATCATCAGGACACAGTCATCGTCATCATCATCAGCAGCATCAGCATAATCATCATCATATTCGGGACACCATCATGATCACCATCGTTCTCATCATCAACATTATCATCAACATCGTCATCATCCCCGGGACACCATCATCATCATCATGATCATCGCATCATCATCATCGACATCATCATCATCAACAACATCATCATCATTGGGGCACCATCGTCATCATGAGCAACATCATCATCAACATCGTCATTTTCATTATTATCATCATCGGGACACCATCAGCATCACCATCATCATCATCACCATCATCATCATCATCAGCATCATCATCGGGACACCATAATCATGATCAACATCATCATCAACATCATTATCGCCGGGACACCTTTTCCATCAACATCATCATCACCAACATGATTGGAATCATCATCATCATCATCATCATCATCATCATCATCATCGGGACAGCATCATCGTCATCATCATCAACATAATCATCATGAGCATCATCATCCTCAACATCGGGACACTATCATCATCATCGACACCATCATCAACATCATCATCATCTTCATCGGGACACCATCATCATCATCTCATCATCATCATCATCATCATCATCATCATCATCATCATCATCATCATCATCATCATCATCATCATCATCATCATCATCATCGTCATATCATCCATCATCATCATCATCATAATCATCATCATCATCTCATCATCAATTATCCTCGCGGGACACGCGGGACAGCGGCGGGACACCGGGAACGGCGGACACCAGCGGACACCGCGGGACACCGCGGGACACCGGCGGGACACCGCGGGCCCCCGGCCGCCCGGAAGGGAGTCATTTGGTCCGGCCGCGCCTCAGCCACACGAGGACACCGCGGGACACCGGCGGGACACCGCGGGCCCCTGGCCGCCCGGAAGGGAGTCATTTGGTCCGGCCGCGCCTCAGCCACAGGAGACTTTTTCTCGCCCGCCCACGCAGCTTCGCCTCGCACGCACGGCACGCACGAACACGAAACCGAAACCAATTTCCCGGTAGGGGGGCTCGCCGTTCCACTTCGATCTCACCCCCTCACCTCCGATGATGCTGCTGATGATGATGCTGATGCTGACGATAGTGATGCTGATGCTGATGCTGATGATGATGAGGAGTCAAGGGTTTCTTGTCAGACATTTGATGTTTGTGTGTGTTTATGGGTGTTAAATCCCCCGGTAGCCACTCTTGATTTTAATTAAAGTGTTCCTTCTGGGGCTCGCACCCTGCTTCTTACATTGGACAGTGTATGGTCGCCAAACTGGACCCCTGGCCCCAGGTTCACAACAACACCCACAGCACCACCACCACCAACACCAGCAACAACAACAGTCATAATAAGAGTGTTCGCTCTTATCTGCCCGCGTGCCATTCAACACGTATATCCCAACCCTCGATACCCGCCCTCTTCGTCTTCGACCGTACTCCCTCGGGGGTATATATTTCGTACCTGCAATGTGTACTTCGTGCAGCCCCTGAGGCAGGGGAAGAGAGGACGGATGGAAGGAAGGGACAAGGGGGAGGGAGGAGGATGGAGCACGAGAGAGAGTGGCAGGAAGGGGGCTAGGAACAGAAAGCACGTCGCAGAACCAAACGGGCAAATCGGGCGGGTAGACCCTACCAGGCGGGTCCGGAAGGCGGGCCCAGGCGACCAGGTTGAGCAGGCGGGTTGCTGAAGCGTGCGTCCTGCATGAATCGCAAGGGAGTCTCGGGCGTCGGTGCCCAAGTCAATGGTGAGGAAGTCCACAGCGAGAGCGTGACTCCTGAGTGTCGAGGGCGCGGCGTCTGAATCCATTGCGAGGAAGGCCCACGCGGCAGCGCGAGTTCTGCATACATGCTGGGGAAGTCCCGCGCGAGAGCGCGATGTGTAATACATTGTGTGAAAGTATCAGGCGGGAGCCGTTGTTGAATTTCCGTCTTTAATTTCCGGCTCGAATTTCCTTCTCCTCCTCCTCCTTTTCCTCCTCCTCTCCCTCCTCCTCCTCCTCCACTTGGGTTGTTTCTTGATGGCCTTCTTGGGGCCCCGCGAGGGCGCCATGGGAGGCCCGGAGCGGCCAAGAACCACATACCGTCGCGTTCTTGATGTTCCACGGCGCGCGCATTTCTGGATCCGTGCTCGTGGCGGCGAGCGAAGGAGAAGGGGGGGGCCTTTGTGGGGAGGAGGAGGAGGAGGAGGAGGAGGAGGAGGAGGAGGAGGAGGAGGAGGAGGAGGAGGAGGAGGAGGCGGAGGAGAACAACGACGAGGGGGAGGGGAGGAGGAGGAGGCTGGGAGGAAGACGGTCTGCTAAGGAGGAGGGGGATGGGGCCAGGCAGGAGGAGGAGGAGGAGGAGGAGGAGGAGGAGAAGGAGGAGGAGAGTGAGGAGGAGCAGGAGGAGGCGAGGAGGAACAGGAGGAGGGAAGGAGAGGAGGAGGAGGAGGAGGAGGAAGGATAACACGAGGAGGGGCAGAGGAGGAAAGAGGAGGATGGGGAAGGAAGACGGCTGGCTAAGGAGGAGGGGGGGGATGGAGGAGGAGAGGAGGAGGAGGAGGAAGAGGAGGAGGAGAAGGAGGAAAAGGAGGGGAGGAGGAGAGGAGGAGGAGGAGGAGGAGGAGAGGAGGGGGGAAGTTGCGAGGAGAAGGCCTTCTCATTAGGCGGCGGGGATTCTCAGAAGCCCTCGAGCCTCCTGAGAGGTTCTCCTCTGTGCCTGCGGAGGAGGCTTAGGAGACATCTCAGAAAGTCGGGGGACTTCCGAGCCTTCTGCCAAGGCCCGCCCCTTCTCCCCATCCACCCCCAGGCTCGGCGCCTGTGCTCCCACCCCAGGAGCCCATGTACGTCTGCGAGATCGCCCCGCCTGCGCGCCGCGGCCAGTTCGTCATCATGAACGAGGCCGCGGGGTTCGTCGGAGGGGAAAGGGGGCAGCATGGGTTTGGGCAGCCTCGTCCTCGTCCTTGTCCTCGTCCTTCCTCCTCTTCGTCCTCGTCCTCCTCCTCCTCCTCCTCCTCCTCCTCCTCCTCGTCCTCCTCCTCGTCCTCGTCCTCCTCCTCGTCCTCGTCCTCCTCCTCGTCCTCGTCCTCCTCCTCCTCGTCCTCGTCCTCCCTCCTCCTCGGTTCGGCTGTGCTTGGCGAGCCCGGTGGCCGGGCGAGCCGTCTCGCGGTGCCGGCCGAGGCGTGAGCTCCCGGGGGGGGCTCGCCGAGCGGCTCGCGGTGCCTTTCACCACCCACCAAACCACCCCAACCCAACCCGAAGCTTTTCATTTGCCTTCCATTTCCAGTGGGGGGGGGTCGGGGAACGTTGAGAAAACACATGGGATCCGTACCCCCCGAACCCGAAGTTCGGGTCAGATTCGGGTCTTCGGGCTAGGTTGGGGTGGTCTGGTAGGTAGTCAGCTTTACCCCCGAGGGAGGCCCTGCAGGCGTTGCGCGGCGCGCGCATTCGGCTCCACGAAGGCGAAGCATAGGTCGGCTCCCCGCTGGCCGTCCTCGTGTCCCTTGCGCGCGCGCACGCCGCCTACCTGCCGCCGTTCTGGGCTCATGGGTGGGGCCGCGTGTCCCGCCCGCCCGCTCCTTTTCTTTGCCTGCCCTTCTTTGCCTGTCCTCGTTTTCGGCGGCGCCGCTGCGCCCGCCGCTGGGGGACGGGAGCGGCCTCGAAGCTGTGGTGCCGTGCCAGTGAAAAAAGAGGAGGGAAGTGAGCGGGGAGCCGGCGCTGCACAGTCCAGTCCACACGTCCGCCCCGTCGGATATGGGAGGACGTCTGCGCGGCCGCGCTCTGGCGCAAGTCCGACGTCAGTTCGACGTCAATCTGGCGTACCTCCGACGCACTCCGACGTGACCGTCAGCAACCTAAATCCGACGCGGATCCGACGCAGCTCTGGTTTCAAGTTGCCGCGTGAGGCCTCTCAACCACGCTGCACACTCTCCCTGCTTGTCCTTCTCCTCCTTGTCCTCGTTTTCCTCTGCCTCTTCCCCCCCCTCCGCCCGAATCCCGAGTCTGGGGCCGCGGCAGGTTCTTGCCTTCGGCTGTGCAGAGGCTCGTCGCGCCTCGTTTCCCTCAGCTGTCCTCCTTGACACCCTCCGATCTGATGTTTTCAATGCTCGGCCCAGAGGTCGGGATCTCATCCTCGGGTGTTTTGCGCCGCGGATCCGTTTTTGATCGTCCCGGAGGCCGACATCGAGGACATTCGCCCTGATAGAGGCAATCATATCGTCGGAGGTATGGGCTTCTCCCAACATTGCGCCGAGCAGAAAATCCTCATACAGTCAACGCGTCTACTGAGGGCGCGGTGAGGATGCACGGGCCTCGGATGGCCCTGCCGACAGTTTTCGAGCGGGGATCGGCCAGCGAAAGTGGCCAAGGATGAGCCGAAGGGGAAGGGTGCAGGGGTAGCCTTGGAAATGCGTTAATCCTTGCTTCCGCGTTGACTGTAAATCGGCGGCAGGCGAGGGGGGAAGTGATAAGGGACGGGCATTCTCAGAAGGCTCGGAAGTCCCCCGACTTTCTGAGAAGTTCTCCAAGCCCTCCCTGAAGCCATAACAGAACATCTCAGAAGGCTTGAAGCCTTCTGACACGTCCACGTCCCGCCGCCTTCTGAGAAGTCCCGCCGCCTTGTGAGAAGGCCTTCTCCTCCTCCTCCTCCTCCTCCTCATCCTTCTTCCTCCTCCTCCCCTCCTCCTCCTCCTCCTCCTCCTCCTCCTCCTCCTCCTCCTCCTCCTCCTCCCCCCTCCCCCCCCCTCCTTAGCCAGACCGTCTTCCTTCCCCCTCCTCCTCTTCTTCCTCTCCCTTCCTCCTTTTCTTCCTTTCCTCTCCTCCTCCTCCCCCTCCTCCTCCTCTTCCTCCTCCTCCTCCCGCCGTTGCAAGAAATGGCCAAGGCCGCGGTGTGCGTCGGCTGCCTGCTGGGCCTGGAGGTGGGCGCCGCCGTGGTCCGCGGCGGGAGCGCAGCGGCCGGCGCCTGGCGCCTCGCGGTGGCGCTCGGGTTATGTCGGGCACATTCCTCTACAGGAGGAGGGGGAGGAGGAGGAGGAAGGGGAGGAGGAGAGGAGGGGAGGAGGGGGAGGAGGAGGAGGAGGAGGAGGAGAGGAAGGAGGAGGAGGAGGAGGAGGAGGAGGAGGAGGAGGAGGAGGAGGAGGGAGGAGAAGAGAGGAGGAGGAGGAGGAGGACGAGGAAGAGGAGGAGGAGGAGAGGAGCAGGAGGAGGAGGAGGAGGGGGAGGAGGAGGAGGAGGAGGAGGAGGAGGAGGAGGAGGATGGAGGAGGAGGAGGAGGAGGGGGAGGAGGAGGAGGAGGAGGAGGAGGAGGAGGAGTAGGAGGAGGAGGAGGAGGAGGAGGAGAGGAGGAGGGGAGGAGGCGGAGGAGGAGGAGGAGGAGGAGGCGGAGGAGGAGGAGGAGGAGGAGGAGGAGGAGGAGGAGGAGGAGGAGGAGGAGGAGGGGGAGGGAGAGGAGGAGGAGGAGGAGGAGGAGGGGGGAGGAGGAGGAGGAGGAGGAGGAGGAGGAGGAGGAGGACGGGAGGAGGAGGAGGAGGAGGAGGAGGAGGAGAAGGAGGAGGAGGAGGGTGGAGGTGGAGGCGAGGTGGTGAGTTATGAATTTCCAACTTATCCTAGCCTGAACAACCAGAAATAATTTCGAGCACCAAGAAAGTACCAAAACTGGAGGGTTTCCACGTGTCGGGCCCTGGGAGGCGATGCTCGTTGGACACTGTCTTGATACGGTTCGGAGCGCTCGAGATAATTTTTGGATTTGGTCCTGACGTACGATGGGGGCAGTGTAACTCTACAGGAGTAATTGTCAGAAATAGTCAAAGAGTAGTCTGGGGACGACTTTTTGTGGATTTTTGATTTGTTTTTGACTGTTTGTCGTTTTTTTTTTCCAAGACCCGCCTGTAGGAGGACATGCCCGACCTAACGCTTGGGGCGCCGTGCGGGGGGGCAGCGTCACAGTGAGGATCTTTAGCTTAGCTCCGGGGCGGCCAAGAGGGGGGTGATGATAAGGGGGGGGGACATCATGGGGGGGGGCCATGATAGTTCACCAGATGTCATGGCGCTTCTTCTTGTTTCAATGCGTCCCCGGCCCTCCCCTGGGCTGCGCACGTGCCGCCGGCCATGACTTGCGCCTCCCCCTCTTGGACGCCCCCCTCTTGGACGCCCCTGAACTTTGGCGTAGCGTGTCGCTGGGCCTGTGTGTTTTCATAGTTTTTCATCGCTTCCGGTCGTTTTCGTCGGTAATGGTCCCTCAATCTGGCTCGAATGGCTCAGTCGCCCCTTTTTCAGGCTTGGGTAGACTTCAACCCCTGTGACGAAGACCCCCCAGGAGGTGCGTCCCAAAGGGGGGGACTGTGCTCAGGGGCGAGGTTCGAGGTTCAAGGCTTCTCTTGGTTCAAGATTCCATGTTCTTAAAAGTTCTCGTCAGTCCTTGTCGGCTCCCCAGCCTCGGAATGATTTCCAGCAGCCGAACCTCGCCGAGGGTGTTCTAGGGGTGCCCGGATCGGCCCGAACGGGCGCCAGAGTGCCGCGCTATGGCCCGCAAGCCATCAGGGACGGGAGTGCCGTCGGGAGCTTTGGTTTCGCACGTCGCTCCGCCGCTCCTGGCCCACCGTGCCTCGGTGAGCCGCGCTATCCGCTTCGCGGTCCCCGAGCGGCAACGTCATGAGCCTGTCCGAGTCTTTCGCCCAGCGGAGCGGAGCGACACGCTATCCGCTCGCATCGTATAGCGTGTCGCCGGGGCCGCCGCCGCGACAGGGTACCCAAAAGTTCCTGACCGTATTCAGGGAAGGAAAGGCGAGGACAGTTCCGAGGATCGAGGGGGATCGACGATTCAGTTTAGAGGGTCGAAGTTCGCTTCCTGGGCGTTTTGGATCGTCGTGGGGCGCCTCATCGTCGCGTCTGGATCCACATCGAAATTCTGGTTTGAACGAACCCTGGGAGAGGTCCAGGGACCAGGTGCGGGCAGCGTAAGTCGGCGGGGCAACGTGAGTCAGTAGGGGGGGTAGGATGCAACACAACTCCTGGGAGGTCTCATTCAGAATCGGCTCCCGTATATTCCTGGTCGATAGCTGGCCCAATCTGGTTTAATCCCACTTGGTTCACTTTCACGTAATCTGGCTTTATCCCGCTTTATCCAGCTGAGCCTTAAGTTCAATCCAGCCTAATCCGGCTCAGCGGCTCCTTGTTAGGACGTGATCGTCTTGAATCGGTCGGACGAAGACCTCCAAGGAGTTATTTCCTAAACTTTGAAGTCAGGTCAACGGCGAGATGCGAGCCTCGCGCCTGCGTCGCAACGCCGCTTGAGCTCAAGCGACGTCGCTTTATATGACTGCGCCATAGGTGGGGCATTATAGCATCCGAGTAACGGAAAGAGGAAACGTCCACTTCCTTCGACGATGGACTCTCTACTCCCATGCATGACATGCATGATATCCTCGTCTACCCGCTCATAACTTATTGCATGGATAAGCCATGGGGTACAATTGTACGATTGAGGTGTAGTTTATAGTACGGCTTACCATGTCAGAGTCAACTTGGTATCGGGGTTGGCCTCATCTTCGTGTGGCTGGCTGGCTCTAACCCTACTACCAGTGTTCCACGTCGCAGATTCTATGGCGCTGGGTTTTCTACGGAAGCCAGGGCCAGGAAACTGATTTACACGAGACAACACGTTTTTCGACGGCCAAGTCTGCTTACAAGCGCACGCCAGCTATTAGCCACTACGCTCCGATTCGCCACGGACCATGTGGCAACTTTCTGTTGCACTCCATCGCCCCGCACCGCGAACGGCCGCAATGTGCAAACACGCGCCGGACACACGCTGACGGCCACGTCCGCTTACAATCAAGGCAGAATTTCTACATCCTGACCTTCCTGTTGTTCCGAGCTCTGGGGGTCGGCACCCCTCGAGCATCCCAACTTCTACTGGCCCTCAAACCACCACGTTCCCCGAATCCAACAACCGTACGATCAACTACTGAAGCGGATGCGCAGCGCTGGGCACCTAGCTTGGTGCTCACCTGTCAACATCTGGAGAATCTTTAGTGGTAGGGCGGCTGGGACCTTCCATGCCGACATCAGCGGCACCACATGGGGCACCATTTGGAACGATTTTGAACCAAACGAATTTACGACGCTCCTAGGCCAGGCAGCTGGCATCACACAGTCAGCCGGTCCAGCCACAAATTGGTCGGCTTCAGCCGCAGCCATCGGGTCATCACCTGCTACTGCCGCCCTCCAGGACTCATCACACGGGCACCTGCTCCTCTCCTGGTATGGATGAAATCGAGTGGTCCGACCTACATGCCAACGGTGGGCAAACTGCACAATGCCCATATTTAGGCTATCACCATGCTAAACGCGATCGAGGCGACATATGCGACAGCCTATTCGCCCATTCAGACGAGCAGTGCGCCTCGCATTCCATCGCAAGGGTAAGAGTCGCGTTGCATACGGTGGACGCACCCGCGGGCTACCTGGGCAGGGAATCGCTTCATACCTAGCGAACCTTACCGATCACGACTTTGAGGGGTTATTTCTCGGTAGAAGAGGAAGCGGCCCTAGACGCAGACGCGCCACTGGGAAGGGTTAGGGAAGCACGCTAAAACCAATAGGTAAGAATGGCCAGGTAATGAAGCGTAGTAGTTGCGGCAGGGACAGCCATTTCCAGGCAAAATGCACGAGGGGAAGAGGAAATTGTGATGGATCCATACTTCTTAGCTCAGAACAGCAAGTGCTCGACGAGTTGGGCATTTGTTGACTGCCACACATGGGCCATCAATCCCGCGCCACTCGTACAACGTGGGTTCGGATGGCTCTGTATGCCGATGCAGCCCTTGCCGTTTAACGTTCCACCAATTATTGCCAGGGCGACATGCTTGATGAGATCGAGGCACCGTTCGAGGCATGGCTCGGCTGTCCACTGGGCGCGCGTGCATGATGACCTGAGGGTGTCATTGAGTGCGTATCCGATCTTATGTCGGAGGCCGAGGCGATCCTGGTCGCCGAGGAAGACACGTCGCTGGCCCAGTGCGGCCCCGAACAGGTTGGACGCGCCCATAACCAACACTTACTACCATTGGCCTTTCCGCAGTGGAATTGGCGGCTGTAGGGCGGGGCCAGACCCCCTGTGCAGCGCTGTGCAGCATTCATGATGCGGGGATCGACGGGCCCCCGTCGGGGCTACTTGGGCGGCAACTGCTATTTTTCGTTCAGACAAGACGAGCGTGGCACACGACTGGAGGCACCTGAGGAGGACGCGCATTGGTACCTGGACCCTGGACCGCCGCTGGTCAGAGGCGTCAATTTGCCACTGGCGCTCGCTCACCGATGTCCTCCGGCGCCCGACGACAGGCTAGATCGCCGAGGCCGCCGACCGCCAATCGGGGAGCAGAGAGGCTCGCTTCAGGAAGTGGCAACTCATTGAGGATTGGGGGACCAACCGTATCTGCGGGTGCCTTTCTCATGCGAGCTACCACCTTCGGTGCCCGATAGATCGGCCCCCGGGTAGCCCCCGTCATGTGGCCGCGCCGTGGAATCTGGAATTTCGACCTTGGGGGCTGCTTCGGGGGAGACCACGAGTCTCCTGAAGACCGCGTTGCGCCGCGCAGTGCAGGCGGTGGCCGTCGAGGCAGAGTGGGCGCGGCTGCTCGAGAAGCGCCGCCCGAAGAAGTGCCGGCGGAACTGCCACTTGATGAGCATGTGCGAATGCATTGGCCGCGGTGAACGTCTTGGTCGCGCGCCCCGTGACGGGCCCCTCAACGCCACGGGCCCGGTCGCGGGCCGTTCGAGCACTGCCTCTCCTCGGGGCGGCCCGCCGGCCATCTTCCCGGGCGACGAGGGAAAGATGCCCTCCGAAGGGGCGACCCCTTCCGAGATGAAGCTGCGACAGGGCCCGGGGCGAGAAGCAGATCCGGGGGGGTAAGTATCGGGGGGGGGGAAGGAGGGGGAGGATCTCGGAGTCCCTGATTAGGGGCTCCAGCTCCGC